GAGAGTGAGAGAGAGAGAGCGAGAGCGACAGTTTAATTTTGTACAGATTATGCTTACCTCAGGTTTCTTTAGTGTGCTTCAATGCCCTTCTTTAAATATAACACCTTACTAATTTGGCAGCAATTATCTTTTTCTTTGTTAAAAAAAAAAAAACTGGAATAATAACATTTATCTTTTTTTGCTGTTTATATTTAGGGGGGTTTGGTTTGGGAGGTTTTCTGGGGTTTTTTTGGTAAAACAAGTCTTGGTTGTGGCTTGCTGAATTTAAATATTTATGAGTGGTGCATTTTTAAGTATAGTGAACAAGACACCATATTAAGTGCAGTGAAAAGCATCTATATTCTGTAAAAATCTGCCTATGCATGTTTTTTAAGAAAAAAATGGCTGTATAGGCCTGTATGGGACTGTAATGCGCTTAGTGGTCTGACTTATACTGGAAATGTATGTATACTGGCGTACTTTATATTCTCTAAAAAGAAAATGCTTAATGCCTTTGAAATTTTGTAATCAAAAAAAAGCTTTGAAAAATCTAAGGGGGGAGAGTATTCTTAAAGTTTTTAACATAAGCTTGTCAGTGCACATATAGATGGGTAGCATGTTTAGCAAACCTTGTGAAATTTAAATAAGTTTGTAGTTACATGTGAAATTCTAAATGCATGATAACTGTTAATGTCATAATGGTTTAGTCATTTTGTTCTGTTTTGTCATGTGCCACAAAATGTGTAATTTTTTCACTTTTTTCCCTTTGTATATCAGTTACGGGTTTCAACTGGTTCATTCTAAAAAAGAAAAGGAAACAAAACAAACAGTCCATTGATATTTTTTAACAATTGTATAAGTGCCCAAGTAATTCACTACAGCCTACAGCCTTGCCTTTGTAATTTGACTTCGAAATGTTGGCAATCAAAGCATGCACTTGTAACAATGAAAGAAGCATTTTATATTACTACTCAATAAAAATGTGCATGAACTTAAGCATTCCTCCCTTTCTTGCTGTCTCAGTGGCAGAAGCATGCAGACACCACATGTGTGTGCTTCTTGCTGCTGTCTTTTGCTTTGGACAGGAGAAGACCGCTGGTGTAAGAGATGAGTGACTTGTCTCACGATTCGAGGTCAGTTCTTTAGTAAGAAATGAAGCCATGTATTACCCAGCTGCTGTAGCCTACTGAATGTCTGCAGGCTTCCCCCAAGGTCTGGTTAGAACATTGGGTTTTCACTAAAATGAGTTGGATGTAACCCACAAGTAGAGTGCACGAGAAAACAAGCCCTCTGTGTGCTTTCCCCTTATCTGAAGTGTTTGAAAAGGTCGAGTGTCATTTACAATTACAATTTTATTTCAAATGCTCTCTCTTTTAGTCAGAGAAGAACTGTCAAAGCTCAGCCTTCTCACTTTCTCCCTAACTGTGCTCAGCATCCTTCCCAAGTCCATCATCCTGCGAAGAACTGACAGATGATGCCAAATAGTGCAGTGATGTGGGTATTGCTTCAGTCCTTCTTTCAGGTACCATTATTAAATATAGGCTCACTGCCTGCTTTCTTACATGTTTTTCCCACTTTAGCTCTTGCTAATTTTGACAAAATATGGCAGGTGGCAAAAATAAAGAGGTTTCATAATATCTGGGACTATTTTGGATGTAATTTCTCATTTCAGATGGTGTAGAGGTACAGCACAAACACATAGAGTCTGTGTGTTCATCTGCCGGGCAGAGCTGTTTGTCCCTCTGGTTCATGGTCACGGTGACAGTTTGCGTGAGCGCTTTGCTTGCCCACTGAGCCCTGTATGCGTGCTCTCTGAGCACCGCGGGTCACCTGAGGTAAGTTCTTCCCTGAGACGCCCTGTGCTGCACACAGCAGCACTGCTGGGCAGCACAGCAGCGTCTGCTGTCTGCTTGCATTTCATTTGGGCCCTGGCAGTTCCACCAGCCAGTCTGACAGTAAGAAAGGGGGTTTTCTGCTCAGCAGTGACTGTGCATAGGCCTCTCAGTTGGTAGATTTAACCCAAAAGATCCGTGCTGCAAATCGGAGGTGGGGATGCAAATGTCTGTTGTAGTTGCTGGAGAGTTCATTAGATAGGCAAGTGTCTTGTCTTTGAAAAGACAGGTGTCTGCTAAGGAAGGCAGAAACCTCCCTTGAAATGTAAAAAATGTAACCGCCCTTCCTTCCCCAAAGAATTATTATAATCTTGAAATCAAGGGGCTCTCAGGCAATGATATGGGAATAGGAATAACAGTTCATTACTAGGAAAATTAAAATAAAAATGCAGTAGTACAAAAAAAGAAAACCAGCAAAAAAACAACTCACTGACAGAGGCTGAATACAGCCTGACACCCTGTTGGTCAGGGTGTTGGTAGCAGTCCAATTAAATGGTGGCTGCAGCCCTCCTGGAGTGACAGACATGGTTCTGTTCAAGCAATGATCCCATAGAAGGGTGTAGTTTTCTTCTGAAGGTCCAGGGCTGTAGATGGGTCTGGTCTCTCTCCTCTGGGAATCCAGTGGGAAAAAGGCTGCCTGTGGTGTTCTGAGTCTCAGATTATATCCAGGTAGGAATGCTTGGCTCCTCCCCCTGGGTGGAGCATTTTACAATGGGATGATGTAATTTTATCAGTCATGCAGTGAGACTCAATGGATCATTAACAGAAGAGATCCCCCTGGAGGGAGGATGGGTCATGGAAGAGATCAAGAACACTGCCCCACCTGGTTTTAACAGATGGTAATAGAATACTTTTGATTACATCTTGCATTGCAACCCAAGACAGCAAGTCAGCCCAGGATGAGTGATCCACTAGGGAATATACAAAGTGTCTGGTCACAACAGAGATTTTGGAACTTTTTACATCTGAGAAGAATGAAGAGTGTCTGGAGCAGGCAAAATTGGAGTGTCCTGTGTATCCAGGTAGGATGGCCTGGCTCCTTCCTGAAGCAAGCCCTGCCATCCTCCTGTGGGGCAGTTTCTAGATGGCTCCAAGGGATAGTCTAAGCTATACTCAAATGTTCCTGGAAGGACCAAAAACAATTTCCAAAGCTTGTCTAGTTTCAGGGCATCCGATCTCTTCCAGCTTTCCTTCTTTTTTTCCTAATGCAGAAGAAACTGTAGATGAATTTGAAGAAAAACCCTGCTGTCACTGAAGGCTGAGTTTTGGATTCTGTGGCCTCATCAGTGATGTGTCACACACTGGACTGTGTCTCCCAGTACAGATTCTTTCCTTCTTACTGAATACCCCACCTTAATTCCAAAACTATCGTTGGTGCCTACTTGAGAGGTTTACTGTATTTTTTAACCACTTAAATCTTGCTGTGTGAGATAGCGTTTGATACATGTCTTATATTTTATGCACTACCATAATTTTGCTTTTTAACAAATATTAAGCTATTAAGCATGAAGTGCATTAGCTCTTAGTGTATATTTTCTGCAGAAGACAACATTCAGATTTTGTCTGGGTTTTCCTCCAAAACTGCAGTAAATTTAACCGTGCTTAAGCTTGTTGCCAGTGTTGCCAACTGTTGGGCACAGGCAGGAATTCTATCAGCATTTTCCTCTTCGGAAGCCTCTGGAGGAGCCCTGATCTCTCTCCTCCCTAGCTTTAGTTTTTAGTGAAGTGGCATTCAGAGTGTAAAATAATGAAAATTTGGGGTCATTTTTTGGGCACAGGCTGAATTTACAATTTTAGTCCTTAGAAATCAGTTTCCCTTCTTTTTTCAAGATACTGTTGCTCAGATTAGTCAGATTGTTGAGTCTTCCCACTTCTTTGACTGAGAGAGAGATGTGAGAATCAGCTACTCCCAATGTTAAAAAACCACAAGTGCCAAAACAACCATTTTGAAAAATAGTTTTCAGTTTGCTTTCTTAGTTGCTTTTGGAGTGATGTTTAATCTCCTTAAAAGTGGCCATTTTGGGCATGCAAAAGGATGAGCTTTCTTGGTCTTCAATGATTATGGGGAAAAATGTATCTACAGTCACATTTTAATATGTAAATGTTCATACTGTAGGCATTTTTACGGCAGTAAAAAAAGATGGGCTGATGGAGCTAGAGATAGGGGTTGGGGTTTTGTGTCTTGCTGAGCTGACTTTACAGTATCAGGCCTGTTAAACTTTTATCTTATAAAGTTTTGTGAGGCATTATTATTTTTTAATATATTTTTTAAATAACTCAAGAGCAGTTTCAGTTTTATATGTGACACCAGGTTTCATCTGAGAGCTTTGTGCTCTGGGCAGTATTCTGCCAATGATTGCAAAGGCAAGGGCTGCCTTGGCTCTGTCATCCCTGACAGAATCTTGTTTTAGGTAAAGTAATTTGGCAAAGAACGCGCTAAAGGACTGATTGAGACACCAGTGGGAAGCCTGCAGGCATAGTGACAGACATGACAGTGTCTGCTCTTTTGTGAAGCCCCACTTTTGGCCATCACTAGTTGCCCTAGGATTCCCCACGGCCCCCCTTCCCTATTGGGCAAAGCCTGGCATGGTTGTTTGCTGGGAGTTTGCGTCTGGACACCCAGTTAGGCAATTCTTAAAACAGCAAGACTTGAGCAAGAGGTGGTTGTTTCATATTTTAGCTTTTGCATTCCTGAGGCAGTTGATTCTGATGACCATGCTGTGATTGAGCAAGCCCATTGCTGTCAATATTTGGCTATTTAATAGTCTCTTTTGCTTTAGATGAGTAGTTGAACACTGTGACCTGGGCTAATTTCCCAGTGTTCTGTGCCAGAGGAGACTGGCATAGAACATAACTGCTGTTAGGTTACAGCATTGAGAATCAGTGAGGCCAGCAGGCACTGCTGAGATCGGCTCCTCCAGCCTCCCCAATGGCTCACACAGGATCAGCTGGAGCAGGTTGACTGGGACCAAGTACA